ATCCAATACTGTTCAATCCAGAGGTAATATAAAATGACTTTAGCTACAGACCTAATAGCATTAGCGCCAGAGCTTATCTAAACAACATATTAAGGACAATTAGTACACATAGTCAGAGATCCCTTTAAATCTTAAAATATATTTGTACATTTGTGAGTAGTTTGTAAATATAAGAGCAAACTAACATCAGTTTAGAGTTCAGTATGTTCTTATTGTTCCTCTATTATTCAGATTATTCAAGACTTTTTCTCTCACAGTCTTAGAGCCGTTTAAAAATTTCATTGTTAATGAGAGAATGCGGTTTTCATACAGTCATTAGGTTTTATCTCTTTGGGGAGTTGGCTTAATGCCAGAATCCATAAATTATAAAGATTTAATTACTAACGCAGTGTGTTTCCCAAAGGCAGAGCGTTTTGGACTTGGACATGCACACTGCTGGCACAAGTTTAGCCAAGTGGATCTGAACGAGACAGAAAAAGAGTCAAAAATCTGTTGTTCATCCTCAACTGCACCCAAAACCACAACTTTGTCATTTATAAAGGCAAAATGTATTCTTGAAGACAAAAAGACATTTTTAGTTGCTCTGAGCTGCACAAAATACTGATACTAGGGGGGGAGATATATCTTCCAGGAAGAAACCCTCAGCACCCTGCAGTGCATCGAGTCTATCCAGCCTCTGAAGTGATAAGAAGGAAGTTTATGGGTTTATGGGAGCTTTAAGAGAGAAAGACGTAAGGAAGAAGAAAAGACATATTTATCCTCGGTCACTGAACGACTGGGATGAGTCAGTTTTTTGCCCAAATCCCCCCCAGCTCGCTGTCCGAAGGATTTACAGCTTTGCACCGAGTGTCCATCCCCCCATGTTGGAGCTCAACACTGGTCCAACAAGAAAAGCCACTTTCTCAAAAAGTCACAGCAGCCCTCTGAGCAAACGAGCAACAAGAACTGAGTTCACCGTTTCTGCAGCCAAACTGAAGAGCCGTCGCTGCTGTTAGCATCTGCATGCTGCGAAGAGCGTTCCCACAAAATGCTATCCTGCAAAAATGTAACGTAAAAAATGAAGCCTCCTGAATTAATTTTATTGAATAAGCTGAAGATGAACTGCTAAAAGGCATTAAACACCAGCTATGTGGAAAAACGAGCTAAAAGCTAAAAGCAGCAAATGACTGGCTAAGATTAGCAAAAGGCTATCTAAAAATATCAAATTGACAGCTAAAACCAGCAAAATACTAGTTACTGCACCAAAAAGCAAGCTAAAAGTAATAAAAAGTAACCTTAAAGGTTTAAAAAGTTAGCTAAAAGCAGCAAAAAAAAAAAAAAAAAAAAAATCTGCTAAAAGCTACAAAAGACTAGATAAGAGTAGCCAAAGGCTAGCTAAAAGTATTAGATTATTAGCTAAAAGCAGCAAAAAGTAACCTAAATATAACAAAAGGTTAGTTAAATGTACCAAAATGATACATAATCTAAAAACAACAAAAAAGTTGGCTTACAGCTTAAATAGCCAAAGGCTAGCTAAAAGTAGCAAGACAGAATTAAATGTGAATGTTGAGTGTGAAATGACTGCAAGAATTTGCTGACAAGGCTGAAACTGAGTTGTTAAAGCACAATATAAACACTAAAAGAAGCAGAACACAAGCTAAAAGCTAAAAGGAGAAAAACACTAGTTAAAAAGGCAGAAGTAGCTACATGCTCACTAAAAGTGGAAGGTAGCAAAACACTAATTTAAAGCAGCAAAATGCTAACTAAAAGCACCAAAGGTGAACCGAAAATTCTGATTAAAATCTTAACATAGCTAAAAACTAAGTAAAGTTCGAAGAAGCACTAAAACACAAAAAACTAAACAAGTTTCCTGAACCTGATCTTAAAGAGAATGAGCTGAAGAGAGCTCAGTGTATTTCTATGGGAAAAATATTTGTAAATTAAATTTTTTTTTAAAAGTTTCCAAAACCATAACTTGTAGCACCCATCTCCTGAACGAGCCGAGCGTTTTAGTGGCTAAATAGCTAAAATAGACAAACTATGTGTAAGTAGTTCTATTGTAAAAATGTTGAGAAAGATTAACAAAAAAGAAAACAAAATTAAATCTGATTCAATAACAAAACTCATCTCAGTCGGTTTGAAACTGTTCTGACAGCAGAGAAGAGACAAGTGTCTTTAAATGTCCCCGTTAAGGACGCTCAGCTTGTGTGACGGGAAGCACAGAAGTGATGGTCACAAAATGAGCCAGCAGTTTGCAGAAAAGAAGAAGAAAGAACAGAAAGAAGAAAGAACAAGAAGAAGAGTCCTTTAAGCAAAATGAAACACACTCATTGTTCCAGTGTTGGAATCTGCAGGGAGATGACAATAATGACTTTTAATAACTTGGTCCCTGACAGATTTTTTTTTTTTGGGGGTGGGGGGGGGGGGGCTCTTTGCTCCAACTTGGGGTTTTTATTCTTTCCACTGCAGCAGTTTTTCCTTCCCCTCAGTACAACTCCAGCAGCAGCACTAGTACGGTCCGTTAATGACTGCGCCACCGTTGTGTCGACCCAGGGTTGTGTTTGTGCACGTTTCTGAAGGACGGTGTGCAGCGAACCTTACAGCGGGCCCTGACGGGGACAGACCACCAGGATCGGCTCATTTGCAGGCGACCGTGAGCCTGCGAGAGCCTCGGTAAATAACAATGTCTGACAGGTGTGCCGGGAGCACCTCCTTCCTCCGGGGAGTCCCTGCTATTACAGGCGCCTTCATCACTCCGGGTCCGGCGTGCAGCCCTGAACATCAGCCGTTGTTCAAACCGTCCTGTTCCACAAGCTTCGGCTGCTTCAGCTCGTTAGAGCACCTTATTATCTACGACCAACACAGACGCTTCCTTCGTGTTTCTTATCCACGTGTTGCAGTAACTGAAATACGGCAGAGCCTCTGAATCCAGCTGGTCTTTAGCACAATCTGATTAACTGCATTTAGAGGACAGCTGAAATTTATTTCCTCTTCTTGACTGGGAGTGATTTGGTGAAGTGGTTTGAATAAACGATCCTGTTTAATGGAATGAAATGCAGCCTGTAACTCTGGGTACGGACGAGTTTTACTGCCTCCGTGTTTTACGGTTATTCACCGACATAAAAAGCTCAGGTTTTGTTGCAAAGTCTTAAAGTCACGATCTGAAACAGCTGCTCTTTTAACCCGTCAACACCTGATGCAGCAGAGCAGGATGTCGGTTTCAATGCTCGGAGCGCTCCTCGGATCCTGAAGACAAAGTGTTTCTGCAGATCCCGACTTGCCTCGACTGCGATTTGCATTTTTCGGACGTGTTTTAAAACTATGTAGAACCACGTCCTTCTCCACGGGCATGAAGTCATTTGATTTGAACACATTTTTAGCATCTTTTGTCCCTGCTGATCACATTTTCAACCTTTTAAATTATTTATTTAAGGCAGCCAGTGCTTCCTGTTTAATCTTAGCTGTAACAAATTATAAAGCAAGACCGAAGGGGGAAGAGATAGTACTTTACAAAATAAAGTGTCCGTGTTCACAAATGGATCATTGAAGACGGTAGCATCATGAAAACATCTTCAGCTGCCTATCTGTGGTCGGGTCATTCTACTCATGGTAGAACATCTGTAGCAACACAGAGTATAAAAATAAAGAACCTGACCTCTGAGATGTGGTTCATTCATCTTTGAAGCTCTTAATGAAGCATTTGGATCGTTATTATTCTTGCTTATTTTAAAAGCAGAATCTTGAACGAACAGAGAATCAGACAATGTGAAAACTAACCACAACCAACAGGTCGGACCACGACAACGTCTCAGTAAATTTTATTTGACCTCGTAAATCGTTCTACAGGAGCTACAGATGATGGAGCTCCGAGGCTGAGCCCAGTCACCCTACAGGGCCTGGGATTTATTTTATTTTTACTCACACTTTATTTATACAGGTAGTCTCATTGAGTCACAAGAACTCATTTTCAAGAGAGACCTGTTTTTGGGAGCAGATGGTGGGGGTTAAGGGCCTTGCTCAGGGGCAATCTGTGACTTTCTGATCACAGGCCCATCTTCTCTAACCTCTGCACCACCACTCTCCTTAATATTGATCTTTCAGCCATGATCAAGATCAAATATGAAGATTGGAACTTTTCAGCTCAACTCTTTCTTCACCATGGCAGACCGGAGCAATGCCCTCACTCCTGCTTACAGTAGTCCCTCACTTATCATGGAGGTTACGTTCCAGACAACCCAGCGATAAGTGAAAGTCCATAAAGTAGGAACGTTATATTTATTTTAGTATTTATACACATATATTCATATATATTGCCCTTCTTGATATAGCAAGCGTTGCACCGGGTAAGAGCTCGAAGGAAAGGGTCTGACAGCAGCAGCGGGGGCGTGCTCCTGTATGGGAACCACGCTGCCCGGTCCTTAGCGTTGATCCTGTAATGGCGGCCAACAGTTGCGTAGTTCTCCCTTCCTTCAACCTGTCGAGAAGCTCCACCTTGGTAAGCACCTTTCTCTGGAGCTTGGGCAGTGGCCTGGAACCTTAGAAGGCGCAGAACGTTTGGGTGGCATCGTAGGGCTTGAAATAATTTTCACAAAAGAGCACAGACTGATGCTACGGTTACTGAGCCAATCAGTGCCCGGGATACAGAGCACAATGCTCTGGTTGGTCGCCTTCCATCAATCAGCCAATAATGTGTCATGTACAATCTCGCATTGAAAACCCGCAAAAGAGTGAGTCTGCGATAGTCGAACCTGGAAGTATCAAAGGACTACTGTATACCTGTTCCATCCTTCAACCACACGCGAGCAAAGAGACTCCCGGGTACTTCACCTCCTCTGCTTGAGGCAGAAACACCCCTTTCAGTTCTTAACCATACGACAGAAAAGTGATGCAACTTTTGTGAGTTGAGTTTACATTTTAGACAGAAATCTGCTCTGGAATGAACCCCAGCTGGACAAGACATCAGCTTGACTGATTAAAAATAAATCACTTTATGTCTACGTGTTTACTGTACGTAAGACACCAGCTACTCTGGAGTACTCTAGTCAACAAAAACCTTGCATACTCCTTAAATAAATACCAAACAGATGAATATATCAGTTTTACCTTTTGCCTCAGAACGTGGCTCTATTAAGGCTAAATACAGCATGCTAACGTGCCTTAATTTAGATCATAAAATGTTAGTTTCTACTCAAAATATGTGATGAGTTAGGGTTAGATCACTGGACACTGAACATTCCAAACTTGCAGTCAGTTTTAGCGCTCAAACAGCAGCTGAAATGACTGCAGCCTTGTTATTGCTCATGGTGTTGCCTTCAGGAGTGGTTAGAAGTGTGTCGTCTTCCTACCTTGGCATAATCTAAAGGCAGCTGATCCTCTGGACACTTGAAGACGCCCTCACTGCAACAAAGACAGAAAACTCTTGTTATTACTGTAAGCATGTGGGACAAGGTAAATACAAGAGAGTTTATGGACATCTCTGAATGAACCGTCAATAAATAAAGTGGAGTCAGATGATCAACTCTGACCTTCAGAGACCAGCAGCTCTTTCTTGATGGACTGTAAGAGCAGCGCAGCACTTCCCAGAGTTGTAGTGTTTTTTCCGACTCTCGTTTAATCTGAGAATTTCTCTGACTCATGGTGCTGATGACGTACAAAACACACACTTACATGCACAATGAAGCAGATCTGCGCGCTCCTGACTTTAATGACATTTGCTCTTTCATCCTCTCCCCTTCCGAAGATATTTTCAGCACAGTTTTGCGTTACTGAGGCAGAAGAAATCTCAGTCTGCTGATTCACGATACACAAACAGTTCTGGACTCTCTGGTTTAATATTTTCTTGTGGAATGTTCGGAGTTGCATTGCAGCTTACATGAAGTGTTTCTTTCAACACGGCCAATAAAAGAGCTGCTTTTCACGCCTGAGGCACGTTTCATAAAAATAAACTATTTGATGATTCGATGCTGGAAGAGTGAGAGAAGTTTCTGTTCTTTCATTAAAGCCTAAAGTATCACATGGATTATTGCTTCACCACAGCCCCCCTGTGCAGTTTCAATGGCGCCACAGAGGAGAAACAGACCTCATCGGCCTGTTTAGGAGCCAAATGAGCAGTATCACAACTCATCAGGGCATCCATCAGTCTGTTTTCTTGCTGCGCCGCTGTCATTTGAACAACTCTTCTAAAACTACAACCCTGATGTCAATGTGCGGTACACCGATGTCCCCCGTCAGTGGTGGTTACATAGATTGGTAGCCACCATTGACGAACACCCCAATCATTTGAGGAAACTACTTTTTCTTAAGCAACATAAAACCAGAAACTATAGTTTCCTCAAATAATAGGGGTGGCCGGTAGGAATGCACGATATATACGGTAAACGGTAGAAACGATAGACATTTAGCCTATGATAGAGATTCTACCGGCTAACCGCAGTAATGCTGTGTCTGATGTAAAATCAGAGTTGTCAGATTTAATCGTTACTTTTTTGAGTTAAAAACTGTGCGTTAAGTGGTGTTAAAGTATTTTCTTCAAGAGCTAAATAGCGAAGCAACAAGCTAACTACGGCTGGCTTGCCGTAGTGTTACCGTATTCGGATGCATGCTCAAAACGCTGTGTTCCGTCGAAAGTTAGTTTTTTTTTTTCCGTCAAAACTTAAAAGTAAGGGTTGGTCAGCTTTAGAGAAACCTGCTCTCTGATCTGTGAAAAGAACACTGCGTTGTGTGATTTTACTGCAAGACCCTCTGGTCAAAGCCACAGAGGAAACTGGTCGCCATTTTGTGTCAGCTCTCCTTAAAGCGGAAGGCGACGCCCACTAGAGGGTTGAAGTGTTTTCAGTGTAAAATGCTGCTACGTTGCTGTTCATTTCTGAAGTGAGAATACTGGAAACTGTTAAGAATTAACAACATGTTCTTTTGTTTAAAACATATGGCCAAAACTACATTTCATATCTTTTGCACTACAAGAAAGAAGCCTAATACTTGATTTGTTTATTATTTAAAAACTCTCTGGACCTAGTAGTGAAACTTTTGTAATTGAGATTATTTTGTGGTATAGCAGTTTTCAAAAAAATGATGGCAAAAGGACACCCTAAGCTTTTTTTAAAATTCCTATTGCAAGTTTTATACCAAAAACATATCGTGTTATATATCGTTATCGCCACCCTTCACAATACATATCGTGATATGAATTTTATGCCATATAGCACATCCCTAGTGGCCAGTTTACATACATAGTGGATATCTTGGATGTTGACATGGCAGCCCAATTTTCAAAAGTGACTTTTCTGAAGCCTAGAAGCAGCCACGCCCCAAAATGGAAGTCAGTACCTCCCTTAGTTTTCAAGTTATGCTCACAAGACGAACGGATAGATGGGGATGGACACATGGACGATGTTTCCAATTCGCGTTTTCGCTCCACGACGGGAGAGAACAACAATCAGAGCTGATCTGCTTTAAAGAATTGAAGCTTCCAGCTGCAAATCGAACATCCCAACACTCAAAGTTTGCCTCAAATAAATGAGGCAATCAGCAGCTTTTCTCATGAGACGTTAGCGGTGTTCTGGGTTGTCTAATATTTAAAGGTTTAATCCGACTTCCTGTGCAAAGAAACCCCTCCTAACCTGCATTGTCCTTAAATTATACTTTAGCTAATTAAGAGACAGCGCCGTGCAAACAGGAGGTTGGCCTTTCAGAGCTTTAATTTGGTTGACTGCGTCACCTGACTGCAGCTCCCAGAGGAACGGGGAACATGTGACCGAACGGGAGGACATGTGCACTTCACACCGTCTGCCCAGCTGGGAAACGAGCCGATCTGGAGGGTGGAGGAGGGAGGTTAATGCACAACAAAACAGCAGTAATTCTTCTCCATTAGGGTTACTGTGTCAGCAGGGAGCTGCAGACCAATTAACAAACCACAACGGGCTGCAGAACAGGGTCAATCGATTCGGAGCTGGGAGAGTCCAGTCAGCATCTCGTGTGTGAAATCTTTTACAGCGCTCGTTGTCGTCGTCACTAAAGGAACCGCTACAGAAAGAGCGCTGCCTGTCCCGTGACTGAATACAAAGCGACAGGGTCTCCCGCTCTGGACGGGGGACAGCCCGAGGCCCCCGTCCAGCCAAGGGTCCCGCATCTGAGAGGCAGACAGGCGAAAAGAGCCTCGTCACAAACTGTCAGGATGATTTCTCCTCCAGCTCCTGCACACACTTGTGTCGCCGCGCCTCACTGACAGCACATTAGGACTGAATGCTCGAGCTCACGGTCACGACTTCGGTTCACTTCAGATTATTTCCGCTGACTAATAATAATTCCTCAACCCATTCTGCACTTTCTATTAGGAGCAGACTATAACATAACAGCTATTTTGACTTAAAGTAGTAGGATGAGCTTGTGGACTCATTGAATGCTGGTAAGAAATCTTTGCCACCGTTCACAGTTTGGTCAACGAGCATCCGGGTAGAAATTCATCAATGTTTCAGTGCTGTGGTGGGACGTCACAGGGGAGCAGCTTAAGGCTGGACTACATACAGTATAAAACAATCACCTCATTAAAATTTAATCCCCTCCTTCTGTCCGTTCAGCTGCTCCACTGCAGAAACAAGCGAGTACGTTCAAGTGGCCAAAAGTCAGAGCCAGACAGCATGTCAACATGTAGAGAACATCCTCCCCTTGCAGACGCAACAAACCCCTCAAGCTCAATCTCATTGGTACAGATTGGGGGGATGTGTCTCCCCACACACACACACACTGACAGCGCCGGCCTGCAGGTTCACACATACAGGCCATGTTGCCGACGACCCTCCCAACAAACCAGGACCCCAGAGTAACCTTGAAAGCAGCTCTATCGACTAACAGAGACTCCTAAACAAACCGTTGTGTTTGCCAGAGCGGCAGGTGCGACTGAAGGGACGCACAGAGCAAACTGAATCAAAAGAGCTGCAGACAGCGCCAGACCGTTAACAGGCTGAAGAACACACTCCTGTCACTGACGCGTCGGGAGCCTCGACTGAACTGCCCACTCGTCTCCCACAGGAGCTCAATGCCAGCTTTTATCTTCAGCCCCGCGCTAAACCTGCCCGTCTTTTCAAGGATTAACTTTTTATTTTTTTATTTTAACAAACAAATCCCTAAACTCTACCTTCCCGAAACCAAACTCGGTCTGCTCCGGAAGCTGAAGTGTACGACTTCTTTTTATTTTCTTTCTCTTCTCGAATGCATCTGGTTCGAGTGTGAAGTCTGAATTTCCTTCATGCGATCCTCTCGTTCTGTAGAATAAAACTCGTCTTCTGCCTCGTCTGCAACAACTCAGTTTATTTACAGAGCGCCAAGTCACAACACAAGTTATCTCAGAACAAAAACATTCACATACATTATAAATACCAGTTGACAAGTTATCTATCTAAGATAATAATAAGAGTGCGTCTTCATTTCGTCGCAGTCTCTCACTGTTCATCAGTGCTATTTAATATTTATTAATAACATGTAGACTACATTCACACTGCAGGAAAAAGTGACCCGAATCTGAATCTTTTGCTCACTTTGAGACTCACAGAAAACTTTATGACATATTTAACATGACAAGTCAAATATTTTCCTAATCTGACTCAGGCCTTTTTCTTTTGTGGTACCTAATCAGATGCATATGCAATATTTTTCAGACATAGCAGTCTGAATGGTTATGTTGCATCGCATCCAACTTTAAGGCAGGGCTATGTGGATCAATCCAGACATATGAAAGCACGAATGCCAACATAATGCAGTATAAAACTTAGAACTCGGCGCATCTTTAGCTACAGAACAGAAGTCCAGTTGCTTCGTCTCTATTTAAAACACTCTAGATTTGTTATGTCCTGGACGACTGAGAATCTACACCAACAGTTGATAATATCAGAGGCATACCACCGTGTTACATCGCCTCAGTTCTAGCATGATGGGATTGATACTGGAGTTTATTTTTTTCCTGTTCTACAAGTGCAATTCTATAGGAAGCGGCAAGATCAAATGCAAAAAACTGGACAAAACGAAGCGTAGCAGATAATAACGTCGACGTCACGATTGATGCACACATGCTAACATGTGCAGCATCCATATTTACTTCTGTAAACACAACACGCTGCGTTGGTGGCGTTGCATCTTCTTCCGCGCAGGCGTGTCGCTTCAAGGCCGTAGAACGTTCACACCGGAGTCCAATGGCAGCTGCAACTAAATTTTAACGTGAACGACTGCGCAAATATATTATCTCTAAGCATTATAACCTGCAGTGCGAGTGTAGTCTTAGATGAGCCCAACTACTTAGCAAACTGCTGATTTGAAGCTACGATTTCCCCCAACTTTCAAACTATTTTTTTTAATAATAATAATCTTCATACAAATATCCAACTGTAAGTACTTTTAATATTTTT